TCTATTTGTTGGAGTTTTAGGCATGTTGATAGTTTGGCGGCGACTTCGACAGCATTACAAACGAAAGTATCCATCAGACAACCAATTGCAAGTAACAAGCAATTATGCAATTGATCCGTACTCCAATGCAGACCGAGAAAGTGGCAGAATCTACTTGGGGGTGCCACTCTTCTCGTACGAGGAGCTTAAGAAAGCAACAAATAACTTTGATCGTTCAAGAGAACTGGAAATGGAGGCTTTGGCTCTGTTTACTATGGTAATTCACTCACTATGATCTTTCTTCTAAAACATATAAATTACGACCTCTTGTCCTTATTATAAGGAAATTAGTGAAGTTAATTATTTTAATAAATATGTCTTGTCTTTTGTAAAATACTTTTACTAATCTAATCATATGTATTAGTAAGAACTACTATTTGATGAAATCTTCAATATATACAAACATTACAAGGGCTACTTTGAAAAAAATAGATAAATATGAGAGACCAAGTAGATTGGAGTCTTAATTTAGGAACAAACTAAATGTCAAACTAACTCCTACATTTTGGCCACGGGTAGTATTATCTTGTCTTCTGATTCGTTTTAGAAACATGTTCCATCTTGTTCATATGCTGTGATTTGATGTTAAATAACCAGGAAAACTCCAAGATGGGCGTGAAGTTGCAGTTAAGCGCTTATATGACCACAACTATCGGCGAGTTGAGCAATTCATGAATGAGATGAGATGCTAACTCGCTTGCACCATCCAAACCTTGTGTCCCTCTATGGCTGCACTTCATGCCGTAGCTGTGAGCTTCTCCTTGTTTATGAATACGTTCCCAATAGAACAGTTTCTTGTCATCTCCATGGTGAACCAGCAAATCGCAGTTTACTACCATGGCCTGTAAGAATGAAAATTGCCATAGAAACTGCAACTGCATTGGCTTTTCTCCATGCTTCTGACACCATTCATCGAGATGTCAAAACTAACAACATCCTTCTTGACAATAACTTTTCAGTTAAGGTTGCAGATTTTGGACTTTCAAGATTGTTTCCTGATGATGTTACCCATGTTTCCACTGCCCCACAAGGGACTCCTGGTTATGTTGACCCAGACTATCACCAATGCTACCAGCTTACTAGCAAAAGTGATGTGTATAGCTTTGGGGTGGTGCTTATCGAACTGATATCATCTATGCCAGCAGTTGATATGAGCAGGCCTAGAGATGAGATAAATCTAGCAAATCTAGCTGTAAATAAGATTCAAAGAAGTGCATTTGGGGAGCTGGTGGATCCTTGTCTCGGTTTTGAGTCAGACAATGAGGTGAGGAGGATGATAGTTTCAGTGGCGGAGCTGGCTTTTCAGTGTTTACAAAAGGAAAAGGAATTGAGACCTTCCATGGATGAGGTTTTGGAGATTCTGGAGAGAATAGAGAGTGGGAATGAGGAGCTTAATCAGATTGAAGAAGTTGATGTTAATGGTGCTATTGGGATATCACACAGTGGTCCTTTACATTCATCTTCACCACCTTCACCGGATTGCGATGAGATCGGATTATTGAAAAGTATCACGTCATTGCCTTCACCTGCAGCCGTGACTGATAAATGGCATAGCGAATCAACTACAAATTTTGGGAGTTCTTAATAATCATTCATCATACTGATTTATTAAAGATCATAGTGATTACAGAGGTTGTGGATGTAGATATAAATGAAAATTCAAATGTACGTTCTATTTGTAAGGGATAATTACACGAAGATATTAAGTTGATTATATTTTAATTAGGTTAATTATGACAACCATAATTTTACTATGAGTTGGTGGGATTTATTTTAGTAACTCCCAATTCATTCCAATTATGTTATGTGTAGTGGTTATCTTTCTTTGTTTTTTTTTGCCTTTTAATTTTTTGGGGATAATGTTATCTTTTCACTTATAAAGCTGCTTACACTATGCTTACAGTATTTTTTTTTGGATACAACGGGACACAAAATAAAATAAATTACCAAATCTCTATCAAAAAAATGATTATCCTTTAGAGTTTTTGCTGAGACAGACAGTCTGAAAGCCAACGCCTATGCTTAGTCCTTTCTTTGCTAGCTTATTTGTTAATTCATTCGTGCAAAGTGACTTGCCATTCCTGTCTTAACATGGATTTGATTTGTCACTAGAGATAGATGTTCATGAGTTTCAGGAGTCTCATAAATAATTAGCTCAATTGTTTCTATTATATTTAATTGTTTTTCTAATTAATGAGCATGACAAGTTATAATATCCCAATAGCATAGATTCTACTGGTTGAATCTCGTTACTTTGTTAGGGAATGGTAATGCCTTCACCTTGATCTGACCACGAGAATTAATATATAGTCAAAGGTAAAAGGCTCTATGTATAATTTCAACATTAAAGATAAGAGATTAAATTTATATTAATAAGAAATTATAGGAAATGCCTCATTAATAATTGGATGGCACAATTGATTTTGCAATAGAAAAATAAAATTATTCAATTTTCAAATCAAAACAATCTAGGCTAGATTTAAAACAAAATATTAACCCCTGTTCAAACAGTTAACTAAATAAAACTAAGATCTCTTGGATCTCTTTACACTGCTTGGGCCTGTTGGTGGAAAGCCTTTATCATGTTCTATTGGGCTTAAAGATATGTGATCATGTGTCTTGGATTGGGCCTTGGTATATCCCTTCTCCAAAAGGTAGGTGGGCTCTCTTTGTTGTAGCTCCATGATCCATCCTTGTAATGCTTATTTATTTCATAGCTTTTCTCAATGACATTGTCATTTTTTTCACCCAAAAAGGGGGGGGGGGGGGGAACTATCATTGCTGCTTCATTGTCGACTCCTTGAGGACCTCCATCAAGAATATTTTACAATGGCTTTTCTTTTACCATGACTTTTCTAGGGAAGTGCGAAGCATGCATCTAGGCTCCGGATTATAACTCAAAATTTTAAATTCAAATTAAACGTTTCCTTCCTTTAATAAAACTTCTAGTTTTTAATATAAGAGTTATATAATTAATTTATAAATAATAAATAAACTAGTCAAGTTAGTTATTAGTGATAAATGTGTCTTAGTTTTCCTAAAACTACTATCTTTGATTATATGCGTTGGAATTATTTCTTGATTAGGAGTCTTTTAATATGTGCAATTAATAAGGATATTTTAAGCAAAGATTTATAAATTTGGAAGATAAAATATATTGAGACCTTATATTTAGAAATAAAATTAACCGTTTGTTTAGCTCATATATTTAAGATAAAAGATAGTAAGTGAGTTGACAATATTTATTGCCTATTTAGTACGTGAAAAATAAATTTTAGGTTTAATATCTTACCTTTGTTATCCTTCTTGTGCATCAGACTTTTTAATGTAGCATGTAACTAACTATTTATCAAAATTTGATGCAAGAAAGTGAGGGGTAAATATATTACTATCTCCAATCTTTAATATAAGAGCTATTTAACTAATTTGAGTAGATTAAAGAAATTAGTTAGGTTAGATATTTGTAATAAAAATTTGTCTTTTTTTAAAAGTACTTTTACTAATTATGTATATTAACTAAAACTGCTATTTGATGAAACTTTTAATATGTGTAACTATTACAAGAATTATTTTAGAAAAAAAATAAATAAACATGAGAGACAAGATAAATTAAAGATCACATATTTAGAATTAAATAAATATAAAACTAGTTCTAATTGGATATATCTAATGCAAGATGTACGATGAGGATATTTATTTATAAACTAAATAAATTTGCCATATATCCCACCTGTACCTTCAACTCATATATTTGAGCTTCAAAAAAGATATTTTAATCCTACAACTTTTGTTTGATGCAATTAAAGTCGCCGTTCTAAATTGAATGCTCAACAATTCGGAAAGTTAAACGGAAAAAAAATATTTTGAACCCTGCCTATAAGTTTCATCGATAAATTACAAATGCGGCTTCAAATACTCTTTCAAGTGAACATTCGTAATAAAAATTTAGGACTATAATTCTTTTGGTAAGAGTATGTAGTTTGGCAAGTTGTTGTATCAGGAATCGATTGTCCAGGGGTCTAGTTGGATATGAGGGTGGACCGAAAAACCATGTAATGATACAAATATTGATCACAATAGTCAACATATGAGGTTTTTAAATATTCAAAAAGTCAAAATCAAAACATTGCATTTGGGTGAATGCGGTTAAATATAGAACATTTACTTAATGACTAAAAATTGATATAATGGTGAGTCATAGTTTTTTTTTTTTTTTTGCTACGCATGTGTATCCTTTTATTAGAAATAGTTTCATCCAAAGCACAATTGGGTACCAAGTGTGAAAAGAAGAGTTTCAAACCGTGATCTGTCATATTGTAAAGGAATGACAAGTCACAGTTATAATCATAAGTTTAACTCCAACAACATGCTTTAATTTGAAGAAGGCGTGTGTTGGAGGGACTTGTTGGATTGGTCAACATAGCGTCATAACAAGGCAGTATAAAAAATTGGAATCATCTGATCAAAATATGGTGCATGAATTGATGTAATATGTTGTATGACTTTTGGCCTTATATAATAAACGATGGATTGAATTCAAAATCAACCAATACGAAGTGCCATCTCTTTGGGGCAAACGAGATTCCCGTGCTCTTCAATTCAAAGCATGCATGGCTCTCATGGCTTCTAAGTCTTCCCCACTCGTTTTCCAAGTCAACTTTCCCTCTTGCATGAATCACTTCAAGTACGTGATATATTACCAACACCCTGAAATCACAATCTCCAGAAAACACTTGTCTCGTCTTCTTCTTGTTAGTTTTCTTGATTTGAAATTCTGGCATGGCTTCTTCAGTTCCTGTGTTTCTTTCCGTCTTCTTTCTTCACCTGGTTCATGTTTTCTCATCGGGGTATATTAATAGAATCCATGGAAACTGTTCTAGCTCGTTTGAGTGCGGAGAACTTGGGACATTCCAGTTCCCTTTCACCAAGCCAGAACTTTAAGACTGGGTTTATCACAGTTCATGGCTGTGATGATCCAAGTTCAAACAATTATTGATCTGGACAAGAATAACGGAAGGAAGAAGCTGCGGCTTCTAAACGTCTCCCAGAAGAACATCATCACAGTCTCGGACGAAGATCTAGACAAGATTCTGAAATCCAAAGGTTATTGTCAGGTTTTCGACACAAACCCAAGTACCCAAGTCTTCTTCCGCCGAACTCAGCTTTGGTCTCTTTTGAGATCCTAAATCATGGGAATTTGATCAAATGCAGTCACTGTGACCATGTGCATCGTCCCGCTGGTTTTTCCAAACATGTCTGTTCTGACTTTGATGTCTACTGGGAAGACTCATCCAGGCATAAACCTAACAATAATATTCAGGCACCACTTGGTTCTTTCCCCGGTTGTTCATTTCTTCATCTTCCAAGTAAAGACATTTCTAATACTAATGACCATCTGTCCTTCTTAATAGTCAAATTGTTATCCAAGTACGATTGTCTCATGATTGTGATAAGTGTCACAACCACTTGGGAGGCCAGTGTCTTCTTGATGCCAACGACAAGTTTTACTGCAAATATGGTAAGAGCTTTGTGCTTACAAACACACACGCGGACACATACTAAATTTTTATATATAAAAGTAGTATATATACATCATAATTGTTGTTTAGCTGACTTCAAATGGTGTCTTGTCTTAACTTGAGCTGCAGAGAACACAAGGAAGAACTACAAGCTGGGATTTGGGCTTGGGATAGGACGTGATGTGCACGCATATTTTTTTATTTGCCCATGCATTTTAACGATTTAGTTTATCATACTTTACTGATATGTCAAATTTTCCATCCTTCTCAAATCTGGATCAGTAAAGAATTTAATAGAAACAGAGAAATTGAGACCCTTATTCACTTTTACAAGTGATGCTGATTTTGAATTTATTGTGCAAAAACAAGTTGAATTTGAACGTGTCCTGAAATGAACTAATTCCAATCTTTACTGGAAGAAGATTCACAAATAATTAGTATTTTCAAAACCTTTCATGTATATGCTATTAGAATTTTTATGTTCTACACTCCAGCCTTTAGTTACACACTTTTACGTTGACTATTGAAAATCCTCAGATGACGAGGCAACAAGGTTATCTCAATATATTTTTGTCAGGTCCATTACAATGGATTATCTGCGGGATTATTTGTTATTTTTTGTGTTTATAGTTATTCTGATAATTTGTCAGCTACGCCAAAGACATTACAAACAAAAAAAATTCCATCTTCAAACATCCAAATGCAATCAGCAAATAATAATAAAAGCAATCCTTTCACAAATGCAAACTCAGAAAGTTACAGAGCCTACTTGGGTCCTCTTCTCTTACGCCGAACTTGAGAAAGCCACAAATAACTTTGATCATTCAAGAGAACTTGGAACTAGAGGTTTTGACATTGTTTGCCATGGTAATTATTTCCTCACACTTCCTTTTTATTATTGTTCTGTTTCTGATAAAAAGGGTTCTTCAGAGTGATGTTTTGCCTAAGAGAGAAAGGAACTTGGTAAGAAGAGAGATCTAAAACCCTATATGGAGTCTCCTTTGACGGCTTCTATTTGAATTGGTCCAGTAACTTCATCCCTTGTTCATAATGAACTTATGTTTTAACACCATAATAGAGCAGTTCATAAATGAAGTCAAGATTCTGACTCACCTATGCCATCGCAACCCTGTGTCTCTTTATGGTTGTTCTTCATGTCACTGTCACGAACTTCTTCTTGTCTACGAATACATTCCAAATGGCACTGTTTACTGTCATCTTCATGGTGTGCTAGCCAATCGTGGTCTCCTGCCATGGCTTATAAGAATCAAAATAGCCATAGAAACTGCCACTGCTTTGGCTTACCTTCATGCTTCAGACATTATCCATTGTGATGTCAAAACCAACAACATCCTCCTAGAAAATAACTTTTGTGTTAAGGTTGTAGATTTTGGTCTTTCAAGGTTGTTTCCCAATGCTGTCACGCATGTTTCCACTGCTTCACAAGGGAAACCCAGGTTATGTCGATCCAGAATATCACCAGTGTTACTAGCTTACTAGCCAAAGTGACGTGTATAGTTTTGGGGTTGTGCTTATTGAACTAATTTCATCTTTACTTCCTGCAGATATTATGTGGGATAAAGGTGAGATAAACTTGGCAAATATTGTGGGGAAGAAGATTCAAGAGGGTGCATTTGGGGAGCTAGTTCATCCTTTGCTAAGATTTGAGTCAGATAGCGAGGTTAGGAGGATGATACTTACAGTGGCAGAGTTGGCTTTTCAGTGTTTACAGAGGGACAAAGACTTGAAACCTTCTATGGATGAGGTTTTGAACTTTTTAAAGAGAATTGAGAGAGGAAATGAGAAGATTGATCACGTAGATGACGTAGATATTCATGACGCTATTGGGATTCCACACAGTAGTTATGCTGCACATTCTTCATCACCATACCATCTTGCCAGATTGTGATGAAATTGGATTGTTGAGAAACACAAAATCATTGCCTTCATCTAAAATTGTGACTCATAATGAGTCTAGCGTAGTTCATGTGACCGCCTAATAATCACTTTTTGTAGTTAAATTGAAGAATAACTTATATCAATGATTAAAGAACAAAACCGAACAATCCAACTAGTTGAACCATCAATCAGACTCGATAACAACTCGGTTTGGATCAAAAAATTGCTTATTTAGTTGAGCTGGATTAATCGTAATTGAACTATTATTAAGCTGGAACAAGGACTTGGACTGGAAACTTGAACAACTTTTAGAAAAATGAATGATTTTTTAGCCTGACTGAAAAAATACTGAAAAATTAAAAAATTATGTGAAAAATAAAAAAATGACCCCCTCAAATATTCTAATATATTTTTAGACTATTTATAAGTATATAGTATTATTTCATTGAAAATTTTATATATTATGGTATTAAAACCATAAGCCGCTGGCCTTTTTACTTTGATATTTGGTCTAGCTTTTGAAACAATATTTTGAATTTAATGAATTAATAATTTTTAATATTATTGAATATTTTAAACATACATAAATTTAAATATATAAGGTTTTAGTGCATTTTCAATTATTTATGAGTAATTTTAGATTATTTAATAATTTGATATTTTTCATATATATTAATTATATGTCTATAATATTATTTTTAATTAATTATTGTATCATCAGTCTGACTAGATGGTTTGATCGATCTAATCGATTGAATCATAACCAGCTGATCTTTTCAGTTTGACTTTCGTTTTAACTTTTAAAACATTGATTAATATATCGTACATGATAGCAATATTAAATATTGGGAAGGAAGTATGCATACATATGTAAAATACTTGTTGATTAATTATATTTTAAATGTATTACAATGCGTTTATTTATTTATTCTTTATGTAAGCGATGAATATAAGGGAGAATAAAAAGGTAAAAGGCAAAAGACAATGAGGCAAATATCTAAGACCCCGTGTTACAGGGCCTAGCCTACCGTTGTATGAAAAAATAGTGTACAGAAAGGACAAAAAAAGAAAGGACAAAAGGAATTGTTACGAACAGGGACATTAGTCCTCAAAGATAAAAGAGAATATAAAAAATATATATATTTCCCCAAACTAAACACGATTATGCTCTAAGAATTTTATAAGTTTGAAATTAATAAATCTTAAATAAGAAATTTTTATAAAATTATGTTATGATTTATAAGTTTAGTATTATTAAAATTTATTAAAGTATTGTTGTCAAACCTGATTTGAAGTTTAACAATTTTAAATTTTTTTTTGTGTGGGATTCTTTCATAAATATATTTTCTATAGTGCTAAAATAGAACATCAATTAGTATAACGGGGCGGGCTTTATGAAACCCATGCCCAGTTGACAGAAGCTCTTGGATGTGATCTGATCATCTGAACACGCTGGCCCTCTTGTGCTTAGGGATCAAGTTGTGCTTGTTGCTAGATGAATTTTCTTTCTTCTTCTCAAGTGTACCAAAAGAAGTTATTTGTTCTGACCATACCTTTCTTTCCCCTTGTCCTTCTCAGTTCTCATTTCATCTTCTTTCATCCTATACATATTGCATAAATATTGAGTAACATATAAAAATGAGTGGCTATAAACCTAACATAGTTGCCCAATTGCAAAGAAACGATGTGCCAAACCATCAACATCTATTTAACAGTAGTGCTGGATTTATGAAACCTGGCCCTTATATAAGTGGGCTTTAGCCGGGACCCGAGTTTTTAGCCTTTTTAAATTTTTTTTATTTTTTATATCTTTTGATTTGTTTAAAAGCAATACAATAAACCTCATCACATTCAATTTTTCAATCATTAATATTAGTAAAACAAAATGTTAAATTGTTATCTAGATTTTCGAAACTAAACGAAATCAAGCAATTGTCCTAAACATTATACAAATTACAAACTAAACACTGAATGGTAGCGCCATCATCAATATGATTTTTATCACTATCTTCGATATCAATAATATTTGATTTTGCTTTACTATAAATAAGCTCTTCTTTAGTGACAAAAATATCAAGGTTTTCTTCTTCAAATAAAATTTGCTTTCAAGTTTTGTGGTCTAGTTATTATTTTATTTTAATTTGGAATACATTAAAGTTGAACCTCATAAATTTTTAATTCAAGTTATAAAATCACAAATCACATAAGTGTAAAAATATTCTCTCATCCAACATGTGTATAGTTTAAAGTATTGATACATATATAATATAAATCAAATAATTATTTAATGTTTAAATTAACTCATTTTTTAAAGTTCAATCGAACAAATCATTATTTAAAACCAAATAAATTAAACTATTTTATGAAATTTAACCAGATATTTAAAATATTATTAACAATGTAAATAAAAAATCATATTAACATCATATAAATAATTTAAAAAAAAAAAAAAAGGCCTAAACTGGCCGCACTGGCCCTTTTAGGCCCGTTTTAAATTTGAGAGGTGAAATCACAAGTCTGGCTCTCATAATTTTGGGGATTTAAATGGCTTGGCCAACAAGGTGGCCTTGTTTTCTGGTTCTATTTGACAGCAAAAGGGTTTGGATCTGTTTTGGATGGGCCATCTGGGTTTATTCTCAAACGTATTCACACTTGGGCTGTTTTAGTCCCCGAATAAGAAGAAAATTCGTTTTGGGGACTGTGACAGACAGAAGTTTCACTCTCTTTGCGGTTCATTGGAATGCTGAACAAGTCACAGAACTAGAAAACAAAATCATAGACCTTGAACATTGACTTAACAAATGCATGTGAGAACCTTTTAAGTTGGAAAATCGGTGATACTTAAACAAGATGGTACGTGTCGCTTTATTATTATTGTTTTTTTTTTTTGGCAAGCCCCTTTCATGGAGTCTTTGCCAGTCATGTTCCAAGTCAACTGCGCATGAAGCAGTTCGAGTAGGCGATGTATAAATGGCAAGACAGTTGAATCATAATTTAGAGAGACTCAGGATTTCATAGTTTAATTTCTTGCTTGAGGATGGCTTCAGTTTATGTGTTTCGTTTCGTCCAGTTTTTTCACTTTGTACTTGTTCTTTCAGCTGTGTATGGAAATGGGAAGCATGACGATGAGTGTCCTCCATCGTTTGATTGTGGAAATCTTGGGAGCCTCCACTTCCCTTTCACCAAGCATGAACAGAAGCACTGTGGCCTCTTCGCAGTACGTGGCTGTGATGGTCCATCTCTGAATAAAACGATTCAACTGCAGAAGAATGGAAGACCATTACCGCTTACTAATGTTGTTCAGCAGGAGAAACTCATCATCACAGTTTTTGACCCAGATCGTCATAGAACCTGCGATGTAGCTTCCAACAGTAACATGCTTCTTCCTCAAAATTCTCCCTTGGCTTCCTTTCGTTTCAAACACAACGTCGCAAGCCTGTTCAGATGCAGACACTACCCTCACATTAGACCCCCTCCTGGTTTCATCAATCATGCCTGTCCTGACTTCGATGTCTTTTGTCACGACTTATCACCACACACGCCTCCTCCTGGTCCTCCTAATCTTGACCAGATGCAAACCTATTTACCTGATTGCTCCGTTCTTCCCCTTCCTTGTAAGAACCTGACTTATGCCTCAGATTTTTCATCATTCTTTTGCGGTGAAGTAGATATTGAAGTGCACGCATCTGGTGATTGTGATGAGTGTTACAACCACAAGGGAGGCCAATGTCAAGTTGATGACCACAATACCTTCTACTGCGACGTGGGCCCCATAGGTATGCGTATATGTTTGTGTGTATATATATGTTTTGGGTGTACCATTCAGGATGACCTTATCTTTTTTTTGAGACGCACACTCCCATACACACACACACACATGTATATAATCACTTAATTGTTAAATGGATACGATGAATAACTAATTTATTAGCTTGATGGTCAATAAATGCAGTAAATATCCTGAAACAGGGACTTTTTACATCAACTCATTCATGTTTAGAATTTGCTAAAATGTGTTACCAATTGCTATAAGTAGGTAAAGTGAATAGATACATAAGTATTGTAAATAATAGCCAATGAAGCATAGGATATCTGTGTAAGGCCCATCAGCAGCATCATAACATCAAAGTTTTTGTGGAAGATGAATCCGAGCGTTTGAAATCTACAGCCTGTGAAGTTTTCCACAATCTTACAGCTCCTACTCCCAAGTCTCCTTTTGAAATCCAACCCAATTTACTCCTGTTCCCATGCGACCGCGAGCTCCCCCTCATGACCCCCGATGCCTGTCCTGACTATGATCATTATTATGACATGCCACAAATATATCACCCAGAATGCTCCACTCTTCGCCTTCCTTGTACTGACACGACCCATTCCAAGGAACTCTGGTTCTCATGTGGTGAACTAGATATTAAAGTGCGAACATTTGATGATTGTGATAAGTGTCACAACCACAAGGGAGGCCAATGTCTAGTTGATTACAACAATAACTTCTACTGCCACATAGGCCACATAGGCCACACGCATACTCATACTCCAGCATCATCCCTTTTATATACTTTTCGGTGCGGGGTCTCTCCACTAACCTAATGATCCATTTCCCTCCACTTTGTTCAAACGATGTCGTTGAGAGATGGGAGGCGCGGAGTGAAGCTTAAATTTGAGGAGCAATACATTGAGGACTGTGAAGCTCCTCACATCCTCAGTGTTCTTTTAATTTTACTTTATTTCAGGATCAAAAAAATTTTTTTTTGGTCTCTTTGTGCTGAAATTGTGAAATGGGAACAACGTTACAATGGTGGATGATGCAAAATGAATTTTAGGCCTCTAATAATGCAGGTAAACAAATATATCTTAACTAATTTACTTAAAAATAATGGATGTGAAATGGATTTTAGGCCTATCATAATTAATTTTAATTTAATTAATAATGTTTTTATTTTTATTTGTTAAAATAAAATAGACCTTAGTTAAATTAATTTAGCATCGTCCTAGGTTCCTCCGCTAAGCTTCATTCCATGCCTCCTGTCTCTCAACGACGTCGTTTGAACGAAGTGGAGGGAAATGGATCATTAACTTATGGAGACACCCAGCGCCGCTTTTATATATGCTTCTTTTCTGCTGCTTGTTTAATTTTCTGTTTATCATTCATTTATGTGTTTTTATTCTATAATGTACTAACTCGTATTTTATTTTGCTAGGAAACCGGAAGTCGTTGGTCATACCTGCTACAGGTGATGCGTTGAATTTAATTAATTAACCTTTATTACTATCGGGTCCAACTCCAAACATTAGCCCTGAGTACGTGTAACTATTCTCGTGATGAAAAACACACGTTGTAAAAGCCATGATGAGATTAACATTTGATATTAATTGAGAGTGAGAGAGACCTTAAATTAAGGAAGATTTTCATATATGTTGAATATAGTTGAAAGACTCCTTGCGAAAACAATAGGATAGCTAATCAGTACTTGTGTTACTAAGTAATGTTCTGACATTTTGCATGATCTCACATCCTGTAATTTTATTGATCGCAGTTGTTGCAGCTACAATACTAGGAGTTTTTGTACTTACAATGTATTGGCTTAAAAGTACATTATTTCTTGATAAGATCACTACATTCTGGAAGAACAAATCGAAAACTCATCCAGAGTTTGAGGCTTTATTTATGAAGAGCCATGGATCACTTGCCACAAAAAGATATAGCTACTCGGAGATAAAAAAAATGACCAGCTGTTTCAAAGAAAACTTAGGGCAAGGAGGCTATGGAACTGTGTTCAAAGGGCAGTTACATGACCAATGTCCAGTTGCAGTGAAGGTTTTGAATGAAACAAAAGGTAATGGAGAGGAATTCATTAATGAGGTAGCAAGTATAAGCAAGACTTCCCATGTCAACATTGTCACACTTTTAGGATTTTGTTTTGAAGGGTCAAAGAAGGCACTTGTTTATGAGTTTATGGCTAATGGATCATTAGAGAAGTTCATCTTTGAAAATAAAGAAAACCTGCTTGATGTTAATCTCCAGTTGAGTTGTGAAATATTGCACCAAATTGCAGTGGGTGTTGCACGAGGATTAGAGTATTTGCATAGAGGATGTAACACTCGGATATTACATTTTGACATAAAACCTCATAACATTTTGTTGGATGAAAACTTTTGTCCAAAAATCTCAGATTTCGGACTAGCCAAAATATGCCCAAGAAATGAGAGTTTTATATCCATGACGGGCGCTAGAGGAACCATAGGATATATTGCTCCTGAGGTAATTTCTAGAAATTTTGGTGTAGTCTCTCATAAGTCAGATGTTTATAGTTTTGGGATGATGATTCTTGAAATGGTTGGAGGAAGAAGGAATGTCAACATCAATGTTGATAATAGTAGTGAAATATATTTTCCTCATTGGATTTACAAGCATCTAGAATTGAATGAAGAGCTTGCACTAAGGAGCATTAGAAATGAAAGTGACACAGAGAGCATAAGACAGATGGTGATAACCAGCTTATGGTGCATACAAACTAACCCTTTAGATCGTCCAGTGATGAGTAAAGTGGTGGAGATGCTTGAAGGCAGAGTTGAGACCTTGCAAATTCCACCAAAGCCTTACTTATCATCTCCTTCAACATCACCACGCTCTTCGTCTTCCTTAACTCACTGACTCTATAATTTTTATGCTATGGGGCATTTTCATTAAGTCATGATTACTCAAAAGCCTATATGTTTTTGTTTCTGTGCGTGCTTTTTTTTTTTTCTTATAGGACTCTGCTAATGCACTAAATTTTGCCATGTATAGACAACAAGAACATTGTAATGCTAGTGGACTTGTATTGTGGCCTTTTTTGTCTATATTGTTAATTTATATCATTCCTTGGTAATGTTTTTATGAATGCTTGTTAGTTTATGATAAGATCTCTACTATTAGGCTTTTTCATTAATGCTTGAGACTCTGTCTGGGGCTCATATGTTTCTATTTCTGTGCATGCTTCTTATTTGATTGCATGAGTGTCAAAAAAAGTGATGAATTGTGGATGTCAAAGCTAACCAACTATATTGTATTTGATTTAACATTTGCTTTCATCAAATACCATACTTTTTTGTGGTTTTGAACATGAAGCCAAATACAACAAGTTAAACTTTGATTATTGACGTACAAAGATAAAAGTTGGCTATGACTTGTGCTTGAGTTGTAAAATCTATAAGACCGAAAGAATACATTTCACATCTAATTTGATTGTGTCTATTAAGAGAGCCACCCTAGTGTGTTTTAACCTAAGATTATAAGATGAAGCTCAAAATACCTATTAACATGAATGAGGAAGAATCTTGGAAACACTGATGAGGTCTCTAGGAAAATTTAGAACATGCCAATGATTTTTACAAGCAAAAAGTGATTTTGGTGGACAGATAGGTCCCTAAAAAAAAAAGCATTGCCCATTGATTAATTATAATTTTCTAACATCTTAAAAATAAACAGTTTTGCAATGTTACATATTTAATTTATTGTTTCATGGTTCCATACTTGATAAGCATTCCATACAATTATGACTATTTTGGCAGCATGAAGCATAACTAGCTCAAACAAAATTTAATTTCCTTATCAACAATTTTTTTATCCATAACGATCTTAAGTTTGCCCCTTTCTAAGAGTTTTAACTAGTTTTCGCCTTTAATTTCCAAGTTAACACTCATTGCAATAAAGTCCTCCATTAGTTTTAGCCCCCGCTTATGTTCTGTTAGTGACTAATAGTCATGGTATGGAGAGCCTTGATTAGGTTAGAATTCACAGAGTGTAACTTTTTGAAATATGGTCCTTCACTAGCACACAAACACAGAAAAACCTTCCAACAATTAGACATTGAAGTCTGAAGGAAAAAGAAGTATTATCCAAGACAAGTCTGAAGGAAAAAGAAGTATTATCCAAGAGAGCAATGTCACCCCATGTTTCCATGTTGTTCATTCTGAACTGAACCTTCTGCTCTTTTTCCAAAATGTTGTGGGTTCTTAGAAACCGAACTTCTAAGCTTGCAAGTGCAAAACTCATTGTGTGAACCCTTTTACTGTGTAGTGTCTATGGATTGTGGTCTTTTCAGCTGATTCTTTTGGAGTTAGAGAGAGGTGTGCAAGCACAACTTCTATACCAAACTCACTAGTTCCACTTCTAATGGCGATATCTTTTCCATCCATTGGCCGACTTGACAAAGCCATAAAGAAAGAACAGAACTTACATCTTGAATTTAATTGTTTGAACGGCATGCAGCTTTGAAAATATGAGATTTTTGGAGGGTCTAGGATTCAACATGACAACCTGAAAAGTTTGCCTTGTCTTCTTTGCTGGAATAATCAAGATAACTTTCAACAAGCCTTATTGCGTACCTATTTTCTTTTAGGTTTCCTTCACAAAGTCTTGCTTGGTAATTTACCAACGCAACCTGCCATCAAACAGTTCAAATGGGAACTGCAGATTAGATACCGCTATCAAAAGAGGCTCTCGTCAGAGACCTTTATTGTTTTGCTCAAAAGTTACTTAATTATGGCTCTGGTTTTTGATTATTTTTTTCCTCTTGATTTCTCACCTTTTACTTCTTTCAGTTGGGTATGGAAATGCCAGGCATGTTGAGTAACTTGGGAGCCTCCAGTTCCCTTTCACTAAGCCAAAATTGCTGGACTGTGGCTTAATGGTGGTTCATAATTGTGATGCTTCAAGTAAAACAATTTAACTAGAGAGGAATGGATCAAGATCATTCTTGCAGCTTAACGGTGTCTTTCTGCAGCAAAATATGATTGCAGTTTTTGACTAGGATCTACATAATGGTTTGCAATCCAATGGCTCTTGTGAAGCCTTCAACAACAATATCCCAATTCCAGCAAGCTCTTCTTTGATTTCTTTTGATATTAAATACAACATAAGCCTGTTTAAATGCAACCACAAACTCAATCTCAGTGCCCCCACTGGTTTTATTAAACATCGTTATGTAAACTTCGATATCTATCAACACAGCCTGATCCTTGATCTTCAGCTTGACCGAAAAAGCCATTTCATAGCATGTTCAACTGCTCCCTAAAAAAGACCTGCCTGATAGCACAGACCCTCAAACGTTCTTATATGCCCAAATGGTTCTGGAGGTACGATTATCTGATGCTTGTGAATAGTGTCACAACAGAGGAGGCCAGTGTCAACTTGATGAAAACAATAACTTCTACTGCGCCAGAGGAGGCAAATTCTTTCAAAATTATAATTTTTTTAATGTTGGTTTGAGACAAATACTACCTCCAGTCCTTAATATAAGACCTCATTTGACTTTTATTTTGGTCCTACATATAATCCCTCAATCTATTTTATTTCTCATTTTTGTACATTTTTTCCTAAGTTAGTCCTTCTCATAATGGTAGTTGTAGCCAATACACTTGATTAGTAAGGATATTTTAAGAAAGACAATACCTATTTATTATAAATAAGTAACTTAACTTATTTCCTTAATCTTCTCAAATTAGTCAACTAGCTCTTATAATTAGGACCGGAGGTAGTATGTAACTTCCTAATTTATGTCTTTAATTTACTGTTAAGCACTTTTGGCTTCCAAGATCAAGTGATCTTTCTTGCTATCTACAGCAAAACTTCACCTTTCTTGCAACCTCCGTCACATGTTTCATATCCTCAAAATCGTATGTTAGAAAATGGAGTTTTTTTTTTGGTTGCTTTTATTGTTTTCGTTAAACACAATTAGATTTCATATCAAATAAGTTTGCAATGTTTTATGCGTATCCGATTGAGTTTGATTTATGCCAATACATTTCTTATCGTTGTGACTTCATTTCCTAAGATATATAGATGACACCATATTTCTGGTCCGTATAAAGAAGACAGACTTTTTCCCCCCTTGTGATTATAGAACTATATCAAACATTATTTCTCAATTTTTCTGAGATAAAGATCGAATCCTTTTCTGAAGGGTAACTAATTATTTTAATGTTAACTTTGGCTTAATTCTTCCTTGATTGCAGAGCGTAAGGGAAAAATTTTCAAGGTGATACTTGGAGTAGGTAATTTATGTAGTCATTTAATACATTTCATGCTTATAACGATGCTTATAACTTTCAAACTTAAAACTTACATCCATCCCTTTCGATTTTCATCTTCTTTTTGGCTATTTAGGAGGTGTTTGGATAAATCCAAATCATAGTTTGGAAAATAGTTTCTGAGAAATTAGTAATTTTAAGAGTTTGGATAGTTATTATCATAAGCATTTTTTATGTACAAATGACCAAAAAGTACATAAATTAATATGATAATTACATAAAAGATAGATTGTAATTTATAATTTCATTTGAAGTAATAAATTTGTTAATAATTTTTTTGCCAATATAGAAAATGAAATATAAAAAATATAATTAATCAATTATTAGTATGTGTATATATATTTATAAAATATAAGATTAAAAATTTTTTTACCTACGGAAAAACATATTTTACTTAAAGATTACAAATATGAAATTCCATGATTTTTTTTACAAAATTGAATAAACACACATTAAAACAATTTATTATTTATTAAAATAATTAATAATTTGAAGGGTGAGGAGCTAGCGAGGAGATAAAACTAGTATTTTATTTCAATTTGAAGGGCATTTTTGTTCAAATACCATTGCATCTATTTTGACATCCATAATAATTACTCTAGCAACCAGCTGTTTAGCCCCAAGAGCAAATTTTTTTTGTTTTTTCCAAAACCATGGTTTGTGAGATTGAAATTGCGGTTTTGGTTCAAACCATAGTTTAGCAAAAAAATGAGGTGTTTGGATATTTTTGAGTCCAAATCATAGTTTGGGTTTTAAAAGTACTTTTTGAACAATTGTCAAACACTTGCTTAATTTCCATCAATTTACTACTTTTAGATAACAATTCACAACAACGATTTTTTTCCCAACTCATAAAACAAGTAGCCTACTTAATCCGTTTACCACTTATAAACATAGTCAAAAACGAGTCCTTACGGAAACAATAGGATAGCTAATCAATATTCATGTTACTTATTAAGTCATAAAATTTTGCATAATCTCACCTCTTCTAAATCTTATTGATCACAACTTCTGTAGTTGCAATACTAGGAGCTTTTGTTCTTATAATCTACTAGTTCAGAAGGACTTTATTTTAGAAAAACAAATCTAAAGCTCATCAAGATTTTGAAGCCTTTCTAAAGAGCCAAAGATCATTTGCCACAAAAAGATATAGCTACTTGAAGATAAAGAAAATCGCCAATTGTTTCAAAGAAAAATTAGGATAAGGAGGCTAGGGAACTGTGTGACAACCGCTCTTTCAAAACCATTTTAGATTAAATCCAACAATTTATTTGAATGATTAACCATGATAGAAAAGAAGAAACCTTAAAATTTTAAAATCGCTATCACGGTTAAAAGAAATAAACTTATATTACGAGCCACATCAATCGTTCACTTGGGCCTTGGACTTTCAAAGTCCAGAAATATCATTCAACCGTTAGCCCAAACCAAACTTAAACTTTAAACACACGAACTGATAAAACATTTTAATATAAGTCATAGAGCCCATTAGTCAAAAGTCAACACTTTCAAAGGAGCGTTACACGTAGAGTCTAAAACGTCTCGGGCTTCCTCACGGCCCTATCATACCAGATAGTAGTAATTAAGAGTATTATTTTACAACATGATAGTAGATGAGCCCTATGTGGCAATATATAACAAGTCAGCACATAGAACAAAAGCAGGGAGGCTATACAAGCTAATCAGCACACTATGCCTCCGGAGCCTTCCCTGATGGGCCACCACCTGAACTATCGCCTGAAAATGTTAAACCACGGGGTGAGACAAACGCCTCAGTAACCAACTCTCCAACTCATCA